TGCTGAAGTAACAACAAAAATTATTGCAGCAGTAAAAAATCGTAAGACGTGTGCAGTAATCAATGCAAATACCAATATTGGTAGAGGTATGCAAAACAATGTATTTGATATAAACATAGAGATTTAAAGAAATCGTACAACAATCCACACAGTTTGATTTTAAAGAGGAAAAATTCCTATTATGCATCTTTGAATTAAACTTTTTAAATATCTTTTTATTTTAATATGTAGTATCTGTAAACGGAAGAAATTTTTTTTTTTTTTCGCTTTTTTATAGCACTTTTTGTGACATACGTATCAAAAATATTATTTTGATGAAAGATATTCTGATTAAATATCTTTCAAATATTAATAAAAAAAAAATATAAAAAACCGTCAGTCGTATTCGTTGTATAAATATACATACATCTTTATCTTACAGCAATTGAAGTAATGACAGCTTTAAGAAAAATTCCATCCCTTAAACGGATAGTAATGATAACTACATTAACCAAACAATCAGTGCGCGCTATATTAGAATTAGCTCGACCTGGAGATCATAATCATGGATTAGCATTTATTCCTATTTTGGCATATGTTGTTGATACTTTACCTGTTGGTCCTCATTTTGAGGCAGTTATTTTAATGCAGCGACGAATGATAAACAAATTTAATCAACCATGGGTTCAAAAAGCTATGGAAGAAAGTATACAGAATTCAGAAATCAAAATTATTCAAGAAAAGGTAGATGAACAAAATACTAATGAAGCAGATAGAAAACCACCAGGCAAGGGAACTGAATTACAAACTAAAATGAACTGTAATGAATCGTTAGTAAAAAATCTTGTTAAAAAATCAAAAATAGCAATGAAGAAAGCATTTTATACAAAAACTGTGGAAAATTCATTTGCAAAAAATAAATTCAAAGGAAAGCGTTCCCATTCTCCAGACAGGGGTGAAGCACCACCAAAAAAATTGATAAAGAAATTTAATAAATTAAGTTCCAAATCAAAGCATGCAGGTAAATTTATATTTAAATATATAAAATCTCAAGCTGAAAAATATTTCATTGAACTTTTTATTTGTATTTTTCATGCATTATAAAATCATTCCTTTCTTGACTATATTACAGATTATTATTAATTATTAGATTATTATAGATTATTATGTAATATGTAAATCGAATAATTCATTATTAAGTACATATAAAACTTCTAATGTCAGCTCAAATTCATATATTAATTATTGTCCTTAATATTAGATTTAGCAGCAAAAAAGAAGAGAGACTGGAAAACAGAAAGTTCACAATTGTGTCCTAATCCTTTATATGAAAAGAAAATACGAGAACCTAAAGAACAAACTGATTTGAGAGAAAGATTATCCAATAATCGAGTAAATACAGATATTGCTCAAACAGTAAAAGAGCATCAGGCTCTCTTAGAAATAGCAAAAGAGAAATTAAGCGGACCAGCACCAACTGTTGATGTAAATACAGCAAAACAACTACAAAATATGTTAAATATGGTTTTAGAGCAAACAAATGAACTTCAAACTCAACTTTCTCGTTCTGTTTGGAATCGTATTGCTTCTTCGGGAAATATATATTCGGATCAAAGGGAAAATAAACAAGATGATCCTCTTTTGAAAGGTCGTTATGTGCAAGAAATGGATTTTCAAGATATTTTAATCACGATGCCAAATAAGAAATTTTTAAATGATGAAGAGTCTGTAACAAAACCAGTTTACAAGAAATATAATAATTTACCACCTTTAGAACCAAATACAATTATGCCAGTAGCAACACCAATTAATCATAAAGAAGAAAAACCATTTCGTATCACACCAGAACGACTTTCCAGATCATTTAAATCTGAAATAAACCAAAATCGAGATAAAAGTTTTGAAAAAAATCATTGGAACGAAATCGAAAGTATAAAAAAAGAAATTTCACCTATGAAAAGACAAATGTCTCCATCAATACATTGTATAACTCCTCCAAAAAGACATTCTCCTAAACGTCCATTATTGTCACCTCCAAGACGTTCATGTTCTCCTCCAAGGAGACATTTTTCTCCCCTTCATCGTGCTATCTCACCTATCTATAGACAGCGGTCTCCTTTAAGGTGTGAAATATCTTCGTTACGACGACCAATGTCACCGAGTCGAATGTCACCATTAAGACAACCTGTATCAGCAACACGACGAACTATGATGGCTATGTATCATCCAATGTCACCATTAAGGCAACAACTATCACCACGACAAATGTCTCCCATGAGGTCCACTGTATCTCCCAATAGACAATCACCACCACTGAAACGACCAGTGTCTCCTTTAAGAAGACAGATTCCATCTCCGAATCGAATAATGTCTGCTAATAGGCAAGTAATGTTAATGTCTAGGAGACAAGCAATGCCACAAGAAAGACAACAGACGTCAACAATGAGACGTACAGAATCACCACATAGATTAATGTGTGAACATTCTACATTACCATCAAGACAACAACAGTCTCCTCAAAGACGGCAAATGTCATCGCCAAGATTTGCCGATGAGTGGGATATACCAAGTAGAGGAGCTATTGAACAAACTACTTGGACTCGCCCCGTTGACAGAATGTCTGAACAAAATGTTTGGCAAAATGAAAAAACTCCATTATCTAATAATAATTGGGAACAAACTACATGTAATGATAGACATCGTAAAACTTTTAATCAAGAAAAGTGGGATAATGTTAAAGATTCTGTTCGTAATGATACTTGGAATAATGGCGGGAATACTTGGAATTCCAAACAAATGTGTACAAAACCTATAATGAAAGAAACATGGTCATCAAATTGTACTAATAGATGGTCAACTACGCCCATGCCTGGCAGTAGTAGCGATAACTGGAATATTCGCGAGAAAGAAAGTTTTACTTCTTGTAAAGAACCTTGGATGGAAAATAAAAAGCAAGCTAGATGGGAATCATTGACTATTAAAGATTCTTGGAAGCTATGTGAGAAAGAAGATTTAAATGACTTACCAGAAGATGCAAAAGATCCTTGGGGAGATGATGGTACTTCAGATTTAAAAGAAAGATGGCGTAAATCTGAAAATACTAGTACATCATCTACATGGGCAAGAGAGAGTGAACAAGGGGCAGAACCATGGAAAAAACACAATAAAGATAATTGGCAAAATAAGGGATTATCGTTTGGTTCAAAACCTCAGTGGCAAAATAATAATATTCAAAATATTGAAAAATCACGTTGGCTACCTCAAAATGATGTGAAAAAAACTACATCTACTGGTTGGCAAAATAAAAGTACTGTAGGATCTTGGCAATTTCAAAATTCAAATTTTCAATCACAACGTCCTTTTTCTACAACTCAGTTCAAAGATTCATATTAAAATTTGTGTTTTTTAATTTAATGTTAATTATCAACAATGTAATTTGTTATATGTGTCACAAAGGGGAAAACATATACTTTTTATGATTTAATAATTGTATGAAATATATTTAAGAATTATGTAATAAATAATCATACATCCAATTGAAGCTAAAATTGTTTAAGCTTTTTTAAAATTATTATTGGTGATTATTTTCTATCATTTTCTTGTTTTTCTATAGTTACTATTTTGTTATTTTTTACATTAAAAGCATTATTAAAATAACATAAGTATTAAAAATATGATGTAACTTTTAATATAAACACGAAACATATTTAATGTGCTATTATAAAATTTAGGTAATAGTATTTTATGTATATCTCCTTTGGGGCAATGTAAAAAGTAAGTTTATATTGTACTTTTCAAATAAAACTGCATTTACATGAAAAATTAATCCAATTAAATATGTTTCACTTATTTGTCCGTGTTTTATATTTTATTGCAAAGTATTAAAAATTTTAGTATATTATTAACACATTATCAATATAATTGAATTAAATCGTATAGTGTTAAATTTTATAATATATTATTTATATGTGATTTGATTACATTATTAAAACATTAAACAGAATATACTAAGTTTGTAATATAAACAAAATATCAAATCAATATTTTTTTGATTATGCCATCGTTAAATGTCCCTAATTGCGACATAAAATTACTTACATTTTTTTAGTTTGTTATTTTAAAGTAATGAACGAAGTTTTAAATAAATGGCAATAGTTTATATTGTTACTGTTATAACAACGATATGAAGAAATTAATGCATTGCAGAACATATTTAAATAATCTTATTTATAACGATAGACGTTAAAATAAAACAAAATACTCTTTCTGACTCTAATAAACACGTATATTGAATTAGTTCGACAAACAGCGTGTTAATTATTAGTCCACTAGTGATTGCTAGTGATTAGAATATTGAGATGTATGGGGCATCAACAATCTTTCTAAAGGTGTTACGAAAATACATAAATTTATTATATTAGACAGAACATTTTTAATAAAAATAATACCTTAAAAAAAGAATTTTTTCTCTTTTGTTAGACTTCAAGAACTTTTTATAAATTTCTTAATGTATCTCTTTTTAAATTTAAACAACTTTTCTGAAATTTAAAATATCTAAAAAAATTTTTTGTTTTGTGATATTCAACATTAATGAATCAAACTTGTTCCTGACAATTATAATTTATTTAGTTTACTATTACTCAAATATATTTTTGTTGGCAAACAAATTATTTTTATTTACTGTATAGCAAGTAATTGTGAATGATAAAGAACTTTACATAATAACATAACAGTTACTTTTATCAACATTTTAGACATTTGTTTCAATCTACAATTAAATAACATTAAATTATTCTGTAAATAAATTTATTTATATAATTACAGTAGTCATTATTATCAAGTATTTCAATTTTAGCCAAAATTAATAGTTATCAAATATAATGAAGAAAATTTATTATTGACTTTTATTTCAATATCTGATTTTTATTTTCTTTTTCTTTTTGAAGTTAGATGTTCGTATATATGTTAATATGTTTTTTATTTTTTATATGTTCATATATACATACGATTATTTAACTCATCATTTACTTGCTTTGTGCCTTACACATAACATATATGTGTATGCCGGTGCTTATGCTATGTACATTCAATTTATGATGCATTCACATAAAAGAGGAAACATATACTTTTATATTTGAATCTAGTTTCATGTAAAATAATAAATAAAACAATACTCATTTTGTGTTAATATAAATAAAAGTAACAAATGTTTCGCTCAAAGGTATATTGGCTAATAAATTTATTTATGTGTAATATAAGTTAAAATTAACCTCTTATATTTTTCAGGTCCTTCCTGTTTTACAAAATATCACAAACAAAAATTCATATAACATTGAACGTATTAGATTATTTCAACATACGTTGTTTTCAACTGATACTAGAGATTTAGATGAAACTTTAAAGAGCAATTCAGATATAACCTCAACTGTAACTTCATATGAAAAAAAATCAAAGAATTTTACAAAACAAAATAATGAATTAGTCAAGAAATTAAATGATGTTTCAGCTGAATCATCGAATACATCAGATGATGAAAATGTATCTATAAAATATGATTTTAAATAGATAAATATGAATAATATTTTATAAAAAACAAAGAAAAAAAATTAGTAAAATTTAATGTTGTATTCCATATAGCTACTAATGTATTATGTACAATCAAATTTTAATGCTTTTAATTCTTTAATATTAAGAACCAGTTTTTAATATTATATTGATTATAGAATTTTACATCATATTTAATAGTTTAATTTCAGAAATTATTTCTAAGTATAAAAATTGCTAATTTTTAAACAATATTATTCTATATTTTAAATAAATGTAACATTGTTAGATAAATGTATTGTATTTTTATAAGTTAAAAATTGTTTAGATAGACATGTTCTTATTTTTTTAATGTATTTTAATTCATAATATAATACCTAATACATTTTAGCATGAAGTTGACAAACTGTACAAAAAAATAGAAATTGAAGTCAGGGGAAATGATCGTGCTGTCCTCAAAAGTTATGGAGAGTTTGCTGTTATGGCAGCAAACCATTTAGATATTACTGTTAACAGAAAGTAAGTTACAATATAAAATATTTATATTTATAAAAATATTTACAAAAGATAAATATAAAAATGTGATATTAAAATCAACAGTATTGAATTACGGAAACCTATACATGAAAGATTAACAGTACTTAAATCTATTCATGTTCATAAGAATCATCGAGTTCAATATGAAACAAGAACATATTATAGATATGTTGATTTCCTTCATTTAACTGGCTCAACTGCAGATACATATTTAGAATACATACAAAGAAATCTCCCAGAAGGAGTGGCAATGAAAGTTACAAAGGTACAATTTAAATTATTTATTTCTACATACATAAAAGATATAAATATCCAATTTTATTTTTATAGGTGGAATTACAAACATTACCAGATACAGTTGTGCAGGCAATGTCTCCAGAGTGATAAATGTAACAATTTATTACTTTGTTATTACTTTAATAGAAAGCCAAATAAATTAAATATAAATATCAATTTTGTTTCTTCTTCACGAATGATACTAATAACAAGTATACTATTCATGATATTGTTTTGTGTTTCATTTCGTTCCGTTTCTAATGTATTATTTTACATTATAATTACGACATTATTATATTTATATTGTTGATTTAATAACTATAACATTACGAGATAAATTTTTAGTTTCGATGGTGACATTTTCAAGTTCTGGTAATAAATCTTTCTTTGTAAATATTGGTAATATACTTCGCATTGCTTTAATATTTAAAGTTCTTAAAGGAGTATTTTCCATATTTCTTGTAAACAACTGTTCCAGGTTTAGATTGTAATAATTTGTTTCAGAATTATTAAGTGAATATTTATTGTTTACTTTTGAATTTATAGGTACAGTTGGAAATTGTACTTGTTGAGAAGTAGAATTTTTCTCTCGCATTGTAAACGAAATATAGGCCTTATGCAACAGATTTTCAGTAGGTTTGTTTGAATTAGTATTAGATATTTCTTTGTTTTGCTGTTTTTTGTTTAATTGAGCACTGGCTGTGCATTTGTGCAAAATAAATTCATATCCTATAAATGTAGAAAACATATATTCAAAAGATATTTATAAAGTATATGATACAAAAATCTATAAATAATTAATTATATGTATATTTCTAACAAAAATTAAAAAGTTTTTGAATAATTTTTGAAGAAAAAATAGAGTAATATTTAATAAAGATATTTTTCTTACACCTATGTATTTATTATATATATTGTTATATCTTTTGCTTTTAAAAATAAATTTATACGTAGTTATAAAGAATAATATATTTCATTGAATTATTCTACTTACTAGGATATTTTGATTGATGATGTGTGTCACTATTTAGTCCATAAGTTAAATGAATGACAGTTATAATGAGAAAGATAATTAGTCCTCTTGTCATTTGAAATATAGTATACAAAAACAGTATTTGCAATTATATAATATATCCTTTATAAGTATCCTAAAAAATTTATCATAAAAGTAATTAAAAATTTTAAACGAATGTGAAAATATTATTACCTTTGTTAAAATTTTAGTAAGTTAAAGAATTTGAAAACTAATCCACTGTCAATTAACTTTCGGATCTCACGTAACGGATCTCAGTAAACCAAATGGAAGGCTGTCTTTTTCTTTTATTCTTTTAATCTTATCCAAGACAAACCGGTTTGAAGAAACAGCCCTGTTTAAAATTGCTTTACAGTTTAAAACAATTTTCGTATATTTCTTCATCTAATATTTATATTCGATTAGTCAAATATACTATATTTAAGTATTTGCAAATCTCATATTTCAAATTACAATGCGTATTTTATTTATTGAACAAAATGAAACCGAAACATTTATAATACTCTATCGAAAGTGGTTAAGAAATGACGAATATTAATTATATCTAAAAATACTAATACTAAAAAATAATATAATAATAATTATATCTACAAATTAATTATATGAAGTGGTATTTACTGGTAATATTACAGTTAATAATAAAAAATGAAATTTAAATTTACAGCCGTTATGGTTTTATACGTATTATTGATTACGAATACAACAGTTATAAATAAAATAAGTAAACTAATGAATTTCGTATTATTATACGATATTTAAAACATATTCGTTTTACATTATAAGAAATTAATTTACGTTTAAATTACAAAAATAGTAGTTTATTTACAAATTTACTTGTTACTTTTATATCTATATATGTACTTGTCGTTTCTATAATGATTTTTAAAGTGACCACACTCGGATATAATCAATTTCGAAGGCTAGTTTCTTCTTATTTTCTCGCCTCCAACTCGGCAACCACTGATCTCTTGCGTGCCAAAACCGGAGCATTGCCTAAAACACGTTTATCACATTTCGTTAGTTAAGTATTTTTACCTATTTACTGTTGCTATTTGTAAAGCCAAACGCATATTAAATTCGTTTAATTATTTAAATAATGTGTTTTTAAACGATGATAAATAAAGTATTAAATAATATACTGTTTTCGACATTTTTTGTAAAATTTTATCTAATATTTTTTCAACACTTTTTGTAGAATTAGTTCCATAAAAAATGCTTAATGTACTGTTTTTTACGTATAGAATAATTAATAATTATTTTGTAATTATTTTATTAAATTATTCATAAATTTTTTTTGCCATCTAATTACTTGAAAGCACTATCGTGTAAAGTTTTCATTTATGCTTTATGTACCGTATGTAAATATTTATAAGAATATATTTTACCTTCGCACCGACATTTTTCCATGGTTTTACATGTTCTGAACTAGTTGTTGCATCAGGGAAAACGCGAATACCACCAACTCCCACACCGAGTATGATATAAAACTATTAACAATGTAAAAAAAATTATTAAAGTGAAAAGAATGATCTGTATTATTAATTATAGATTAATAAATTACTACTAACAAATTACTAATAAGAAAGATAATAATAATAATAATAATATTAGTCATAATAGTAATAATGATAACGACGATAATGATAATAATAATACGCTTCATCCGTGAAAATATTTGTTTCAAGTCTGTAATTTAAAAAATTTTTTTAAATTAATATAATATGATTAATATAATATTCATATACGTATTTTACTTAATTTTACTTATGAGTAAATAAAAAAAATGTCTTAACGAATATTCTCCTATATTCTTTTTTTAAGGTCTATAAGAGTGTCTTTCCTTTTCATTTTACTTATATAACTAACTATTCAAGATAATCCACATAGTTAGCATAACTTAAATAACTTTTGAAGTATATGTTTCATGACAATATTTTTATATAACAGTTGAATGTTTAGAGGAACATATTACGTAGTGTATGCATTTTTTAAATAAGTAAAAATATTTCGAAAATTTCAAAGTCTATATTCACCCTATATATATGTCTATACGTAATTAGTTTTTTCGGTTTTACTGACTTAAAGATACATTTTTCCATCTGTTTCAAACATTAAATATAACCTGTAAAATATTCTAAAACTGCTATGTATGTATTTACAAATATATCACATTTGCATATACCTCCTGATCAAAAGGTGCCATAGTGTTGAAATTATTCCTGTGTAACCAACTATCTGTTGGGGGATTCAATCTACCAATTTCTTTGCCATCTACAAGAAATTGAAATCCATTGGAATCCCAAATTGTCGTATAAATATGAAAGCCTTTCGTCCATCTTGGACCATTTTCTTTCGTTTCAGAAACCAAGTAATTTGTAACGTTGCCTGATGTGTTAATCCTAAATCCGCACTCTAATCTTCTTGAGTCGTATATGCATCCATCGGTAGTTTTAATTAAATTCTCGTTACCACGAGCAAGACCAAGGATAATACATCCGCTGGCATAGTTAGGACCGTAATAATTATATTTTGGTTTCAGCATCATTTCTGCAATAAATGAACAAAACACATATGTAGAATTGAAAAGAGTGCTACCCTGAAAGAATGTTAACATATTGTTGACCGGTAACTTTACTCAGAATTTATCTCATGTCATCGGCTATTATTTTGTAATTAGAAGTGCAAGTGAAACAATATAAATAAACTTTAATCAATTTTATTTAATATTTCTTTTTGGTATGATAAACGGTGTAGCAATCAGCTACGCGTAGTGGTACATGACAGATTTTACAGATACATATACCTCTCAGACCGCGCACTGACCCAACAATGCTGATACAAAACAAAAGCGCATCACGAGTTTACTCCTGACCGGTCAGCAACGTTTGAGCATAAAGACACGAGTTAACTCGTGACCGAGCAACAATGTATTAAGAGTGTTAGGGACATAAGACGAAAATGACCGCGTGCAAGGGATTCGATTGTAAGGAATATTTATGACAGAGTCGAGTGCGAGAAACGAGCGAAAGTTTAGGAATATCTGGCCCATCGAGGACGAGGTCACGTGGGAAATGAGTGATCGAGAAAGAAAGCCTGTGTATGAAAGGACAGAGGCTATAGGTTTAAAACAAGGGTGCAAGGGCGCGGACGAGCAGTATAGAGAAACTGTGTAGAGAGTGCAGAGTGTGTGAAGAGTTAGAGTTTATGGTAAGAGCGTTAGAGTCAGTGTCAGAGGCAATGTGCGTAGAGTAAGCCGATTGTTTAGTATTAACGTTGTATTAGGGGTGTAGAATTAGACTAGCCTTAACACGTTAAGTGCCCAGCCCGTTTGCTTACCATTCCGTTCAGGCCCAGACTCGGTCGTCAAGTGGGCCACCAGTAGCGGGCGAAGTGTTCATAAAACTCGGAGATACTGTACCAATTGTTATAACAGGAATTCCCAAATGTTAGGTCCAAAGATGGCGAAGAATTTAACACCAAGAGTTAGCACCTTCTGGTCCTAGTCTGGGCCGGTCCCTGAGAACTGTCTGGGCCTGAACGGAAAGTCTAGCGCCGGTCCCTGGGGACTGGCGTGGCACTTAAGGTATTAAACTGTACCAAACAATAGTTTATATATTAAATATACTTTATCGTTACCAAATTCAAAACCGTGTTCTTTTTCCCGAGCATGTCCTTTCCCTAAAAACCTTATTCCTCACCTTACAATATTAATCCGTTATTCCATTAATAAAGCTTATTTTGTTCTGTTAAGCATTACAATATAGTCGATCCCTCCCAAATATAATTATTATTTCACGATTCATAAAATCATGACACACGAAGATATGAAACGAACGGTAAGTATTTCGTCAAAAGATAAGTAATATCAAATACCAATTGTACCAATTGTTTTACAAACTTGCATGTGGAATAGTTAAATTAATAATCACCTGGATATAGCCAATCACCTTCAGGAAATTTCGCTCTTATGTCGATTTTACCATACCGAAAGTTGAACGTTTCCTTCGTCACTAATCGGGCAGACATAATAGGTGGTAAAATATTAAAAGATGTAGCTTTTCGCGTACATTCTGCAGCGATTTCACTACTACACCTGTAAATCAAAATAATAAAATAATTATGTTGTTAATTAAACAGTAATCAAAAATATGGTACGCTAAAATCTACGAGAATTTATGATTAGAGTAAATTTAAAAAATTTACGATCATATAGCAAGTCAAGTTTCACGAGAGAATAATTGTAAGTCTGTAATTTAGAATTTACGATTTTAGAATATACGAAATGAAATTTGGAAATTTCAATTTGAATCAAAAATTTAGAATATTTTAAAAATTTACGTTGCACTCACTCACTAAGCATCAGTGTCCCGAATGTAGTAATATTTTCTCCATATCTGTCTTCTAAAATCTCTGGCACGATTTTAAGTAATCCGTCCGTAACGTCTGCTAAGAAAGTATGCTGATCATTTTGGAAAACACAAAATTCGTAGTCCTATAAGAAGAGAATTATGTAATAAATTGTAGTGCTTATTCTAGTGTTATGCATATTGTGTATATCTTGAAATATATTTTGCAGCGAGACGTTCGTATATAAAAATAATGATGCATAGAATATATAGCAAATAATCGGAAATAATACACTGAGAAAAATTTGTTAAATAAAAAGATATGGTCATGTGACGATAAAATGAGGAATTTTTATTATATTTTTATTTTATTATAATTTTAATATTACACTTTACAATTATTTTACTATTATCTCAGTATTATATAAATATTTTTAATATTCGTATTATTATTTTTAACGATTATTATTAAATATAGTTAACATAAACGTTATATTTATTAATGATATATGTAACTTACAGGACTGACTGGTATCTTAACTTCATGCTTCCATACTGATTTATCGAAGAAATCAAAATTATCGTGGAAGAGTAGATTTTGTGCAACCTCGACTAAGAAATAAATATTTTATAGTTCATTTGTGTCTTCTATTCTTTTTATTATTTGTATTTATACACTACTATGCGTATTTTATCGTTTATATATTTCTACCCTTTACATTTCACATTTTATATGTATCATGTCTCTTAATTATTGCAAAATTTATTTTACGTTCTAAAACGTCATCTCCATCGGGTGTATAAAAAAATTCGTAATTTAATTTACAAAATTGAGAATAATCGTTTTACTTCAAAATTATATTCATTTTGATTTTTAAATGTAATTATTATATGATAATTTATAAAATTAAGAATAATCATTTTCTTCAATATTATATTCATTTTGATTTTTAAATGTAATTATCATATAATAATTTACAAAATTGAGAATAATCGTTTTACTTCAAAATTATATTTTGATTTTTAAATGTAATTGTTATTATTATATAATAAAACAATAATGTAATATATATAATGTAAGATATAATATAAAAATAAAATACATGTATAATAAAATTATAAATGTAATTATATCGTTAATTATACAAATATTCGTACCTGTAAAGGTTTCTTCACCTCTGTTATGTACGCCCTCATTAACTTGCGCGTAAACGTAATAATGTATGACGTCTCCTTTCGCTAAGTTTACATTTTCATTTTGAATACTCCATTTCCCACCTTCTTTTCTATATGTTTCACCTGATATTTGTCCAAATTCATTGAAGGCAATTTTCTTATTCACATTTCCTTGAAATGCAAAGAATCGTACACCAGGTTCATCTATTACAAATAGGGAAACGATTATGCCGTATATTACCATAATTTGTTATTAATTTGAAATGTAAAATCAAATTTATCAATTTTATTTTATTGCACGATTAAAAATTTGTATTTCTACCTATTTTAAAGATATAAGACAGAATATATACTTTTTGATTGTTACACCGATCGAGAACATCGATGAGAATATTTACAACGTATATATACATATATATATAATACATAATATCGAAAATAAAAGTTAAAATTTTTAAAATAATGTTTTTTAATAAAATAATTGTACGTTAGTATACTTGCACATGGTCTATAAGTATTCTCATCGATGTATATAATAGCTCGTAAATTTAATGTTTCTGTGTTCAATGGCCCCCCATTTTTCTACTACTAATGTAAAAATTTGTATTGTACTTTGTAATTATAGCCTGATTTTTTATTTGTCGGGAAAAAGGTGCTTCTTAAAAAGTGAAGCTCCAGCTTGCATTTAATACATCTTATGATAAATGTGACCTTGAAGATCAATATCGATCAATAAAGTAACACTATTTTTATAAATTCTTTGTAAAGATTTTTAAATTATTATTTTTAAATTTAAAACAAATTAACAGAATTAATTTCGTTTCATTACAGAATTAAATTGTGTATAAACTATTGTATTTATATTATTATTTAGTTTTATACGCCGTTTTTGTTTATACGAAAAATATATTATGTCTCTTCGATTTATTTTTTATAGATAATAACGATGATACAGTAGTTAATAAAAATTCTTTTAGCGAAGAATCTTTTTGTAATAAATGCGGAAACTTTAGCAAATATATACGAAGATGTTTACATTTGAACTTAAACGTTTGGTAATACAGTATCGATAAGAAAATGATAACTAGTATTTCCTTGATCTATAGATTTAAAAAGAAACAATTTGATTTATTTCATTCTCCTTGTACTAAATATTTAGTAGCTGAAATTATTAATTAAATTGATAATTGCTAATTGGTAATTAATGAATAGTTAAAAGTTCAGTCGGTAGTTTATATTCTCTATGAGTGAGTCACATGTCGTTCCCCAGGGCTGGGAAATTTGGGTAGCACATCTGGGTAATCCCAGAGAATCACAAACGAATGATGTATAATCATCAATTACGTTTCTTTCTATTAGCATGCATATACATTCTTTGATATAATACGTGTCACTATATAAAGCCATATCGGTATTACCATAGAGTAATCAATACATAATTATAATAAAATACTTATTAACAACCCTAAAAATATCTTAAGTAAAATAATTATACATTTATATTATTATCTTGCATATAGTTCGTTGAAACGAAATAAAGTGGTCATAAAAATAAACGAATGCAGAAATGTTATACTAATGTCTTCAGTTTAGAATTAGTTTCCATGTTAATAATTTACGACCTATTAAAATTCTTTGAAAGATGAGGAATATTATATAAAATTTAGTGGTAGTAAAATTAATTTAATGGTTTAATTAAATTAAAAAATAGTAAACAATCTTCCATGTTTTATTAGTAGAGCATTAAATATCTTTAGTTACAAATTATAAATGACCCTGAGAGTGAATGGTCCATTAGAGACGTCAACAATATCATCTTGGTATTAAATAGATTTATTATAGATATATTTGTTCGAACCAACTATACATATGATAATTATTTTTTACTTACCTGGTATCGATACACGAATTCCTTTCGGTTTCAAAATTTCAAACGTTGGTGTAGGTAACATATAACAATTCACTTGTGTAAGATAACTTGCGAAGTTTGATAAAAATATAAAAATGTGAATAGAAAAAAGAGAATAACGAAACATGTTTTTAAAGAATGAAAATAGACGATATTATAGAAATTATCTACATTAATGTCAAAGGTTACCGATACGGAAGGAAGAGAAGTATGAAGTTGAATGGGAAACTGTCAGGGTTGTACTGACCACGAGCACTTATATACATCCATTAATCTTTATAATTTTGCTTACTTTCAAGATATATCGAACCCCTCTATACACTTATCTTCTGTTTCCTTCCGTCGGTATATTAAACTAAACGCAGAATAAAACATTGACCTTACCTTTCTAGATAGATGCGTCCAGTTGTAGATATCTATGAAAGAATTTGTTAATGTCAATATCTAAAATGAGTACTAGTAAAACCTACATTTTGTAACACTCATAGAAATAAAATTAAAGAATAGTGTGTATATCTATTTTAAATTACATTATTTTATACAAATTGTACAAATATTGTAATACAATTGTATAATAGTATAACAAAATATACAAATATATTACAGTACTTCTTGCTAATAATTTTAGGCAAATTAAAATATATTGTTAAAATATATTGTTGTTTACCACGTTCTATGATAATTTCTATACATAAGGTATATAAGATCAGAAGTTTTGATTTGCCATCTATGATTTAAATCTATAAGTTTAGGAATTAATATTGTTCGTAATCTTGAACACTTAATAAATATTAATTACTATAACATTGATTAATAGATCTTATTCTTATTATTTTATTTATTTTATTGAATATTTTTAGATTCGATCTGAATAAAAAATCTAAATGAAATAATTTTAATACTTACTTTGTATTGTATTCGTTTATGTTATAGCAAACTAAAACTATTTTTAGCAACATAATAAAAAAATGTAATCATTTGGTCGAGTTTATAATTTTATAATAATTAATTTTTTGATTTATAATATACAGGTAGCCCTCCTACAACACGGCTTCCTATAACACGGTTTCACTAAACACGATTCATAAATTGCGGGAACCCCCTACAACACGACATCCTATAACACGGTTTCGCTCTAACACAATAACAAATTGCAAAAACCTTTGTACAACTGTACTTCTACATGAGCAATGACGACGAAGAAATTTATTAAATTAAAGTTGTATTAAATTAAAATAATATTTTTGCCTTTTTTTTGTTTTGTGTTGTACATACAGTTATATTTTTAATAAAAATTAAGTTGTTTATGTAGAATTAAAAAAAAATTTGTTTTTAATAAATTTTCGGAACGTAACCTCACTTTTTGTACTGTGTCTGGGTCTCATACAACACGGTTTCACACAACACGGCATTTTTTGGGAACCGATCTACCGTGTTATAGGAGGGTTACCTGTTTTTGAGACGTAGAATTTTTAATATTTCGAAATAAAATATATAGGACTTAGGTCACTTGTATAATTATCGATATGGATAATAAATAATTCCATTGAATTTAAACCATTTGTAATTTATTTGAAATTTTAAAAGCCTTTTTAAACCTTGAAAATGTACAATTTATGTTAAGTTATTGCTTTAAGATGTAAATTAATATATATCAAAATAATTATAAGTTTGGTGTTCGTTTCCTTATCATAAAATATATTCAATATAATACATCAATTAAAGCTTAAAAACCATTATAAAATCAATTCCGGTTCTTGAAACAATTTTAAAGAACTCTTATTTTTTATGTTAGACATTTTTTTAACGTTCAAATAACTTATAAAATATCGATTCTATTTAGGTTCTATATTTATTTCAAAATGTCTAATAAAAATATAATGAATATATATATATATATATTTGTATACACATTTCAAAACTATGTTTTGCGCAGAGAAGACACAGCGTCTTGTCGTTTATCCTTTTGGCGTCTTGTTTGATCAATATACGTTATATAAAAATTTGTATCATGCTACTAACCAGAAACATAATAAGAAGTAGCCTTTTTCGAATTCTATCATATGATTCAGTATTAAATATAAACAAATATGTAATACAAGAATTCGATGTAAGATGTCGAAAAAATATAGGTTATCTTGAATTACATCCTAAACAGTATTCAAATGTAAACAACGATCTAAAGACGTTAAATTACACATTAATAGCAAATTTTAGTTCAGACAGTAGTGCAGGATTTTCAACTACACAGTGAGTAGATATTAAAACGATATACAATAAATAAAGCTTACTTTTTATCAAATTTCCTACAATTAAATTATTAATATAATTTTTTATATTAATGCAATCATATATATGTATGACTATGTATTCATAATTTTAGTTCTAATCTATCTCAGATTTCATCTTTATTTGCATATTTATTTTTCATTAATGTACGGTCTGTTGTGTTTAGATTAATTATTGTTTGCTTTTTAATATTTTAATCTTATTCCCTAAGGTATAATACTCTTTATCTCATATTGATTGTTATAAAATTTGTTGCTTTTTCTTATTTGTTATTAATATAATTTTACAATTGTTTTTCAACAGTTCTGTTTTACTTTCAATCTGCTATGAACATTTATTAAATATGTAACTCCGACAATCAGAATCATTTTTATTGCATATGGTATATATCATATTATCATATACTTTATAAGTTATCCTATTTTTTATTTACATTACCTATGTCAGTTTAATCATATTATCGTACTCTTATACTGTTATACCATGTAGTATTATTCTTTCGCCACTGTCATTGTTCTTTTAACATACCTCTACGTTTGACTAAAAGAAAATTTCAAGTAATTTTCTAATAGTATTTTTAACATTGTTTAATTTATATTTGCAAGTATTATTAGAAGTTTGACTTTAAAATTTTTAATCTAAACTGTAGAAATGAGATTTATTTATATATAAATAATGTAATGAAAAAATTTTTTTTATAGAGAATTAACACCTGTACAATTTGAGAAAATTTCTGATGAAACACTTGATTCTTTAACTGAATATTTCGATGAACTAATAGAAAAAGCAGCTCATTTGTTAGATGCAGATGTATCATATGGGGTATATTTTATTGAAATTTGTATTAATGTGTAATAATTACTAAATTATTGCATAATTATAATTTATAGATATTAATGTCATAATTGATTTTTCAGGATGGTGTATTAACTGTTAAATTTGGTAATTCCTTTGGTACTTATGTCATAAATCGACAAACTCCAAATAAACAAATTTGGTTATCTTCTCCAAAGTCTGGTCCAAAACGATATGATTTTATAAATGGTAAATGGATTTATAAACATGATGGAAAAACATTACATGAATTACTCGATAATGAAATACCAGCAATTATAAGAGATCAAACAAATTTCAATAAGTGTTCCTTTAGTGGAAGAGAGAGAGAAGCTGCAATGAAGAGTCTTTAACTATTTCTATTGATGATTGAAGTTGTAATTGCAATTAAAATGACTGAATGTATTAGATTGGAAATGTAAAATCTCCTGATTCATGTACATAAACAATAATATAATGTAGATAGTACATTGTAATATATTTATGTGAGTACTTATATTGTTGTAAAATATTGACACAAATATTTGCATGATAGAACAGCACATGTAGTATATTTTTACTTTTGCTATAGACTAATTAAGAATTTAGTATTTATATTTGTATATATATTTTTACGTAAAAAGAGAAATGTAGAAATAGTACATAAGAGTAACTTATTTTAAACTTTGAATATTGCTATAAGAGACAAAATACTTGAAATATATTCTTTACACACAATCAATGTATATTTTAATATATATTATTTCTTGAATATTCTTTTTGTAAATAAATAATATGCAAGTTGTATGTTCCTCAATTTTTATCTATTTATATATCTGTATGTTTAATAATGTAAAATAATATAATAAATTTTTTTACAATTCTGAGAATATTATCATATAATACTAAAAAAACAACAAAAATGGAGATTATGGAAGATGGCAATTTAGTAGATCGTGTTAGAATCTTATTACAACGGGACATGCAATATTATCAGGTATTACTACTTCATTTATGAATATTAAGATATAGAAATATATAGCAATGTATAGAAAGATGAGTTCCAACCAAAAGCATTTATCATAATTAAATATCTATGAAATAAACATTTCTTTATAAAATAATCAAACATATGGGCACATGTAAGAAATTTATCATCTATTTTACAAATCATGTCATTACATATTATTCATTATTCTTACAAACTAATAATATTACTAATTTGCTACCATATTAATATGATATTATATGATATGTCATAATGATATAGGAAATGCAAACCGTATTAAAAGAGCCACTTTGTTCTCGTGTTAGTGGCGGAAAACTTGATTTTCCAAGGCATGCATCATTTGCTGCTGTTAAAATAGTGGCTTGGTGGGAGGTAGACTTTCAAGCTGCTTTTAAGCGCCATTCTGGTTTAACAAATTTAATAGAAAATGAGGCTTCCGCAATTGTTGAAAGTGAAGAAAGAGTTATTAAAAAAATTCAACCATCTGAATTTGTACTACTTGTTGTCGATACTGCTGATAAATTACTAGGTAAAAAAAAATACGTTTACAAAAAATTAAGAACTAGATCTGTTTGGATACTTAAATAAATATCTAGGGTTACTAGATTTTAAGCTTTATTAAAATAAACAAAATTAGAAATATTAATGAATATCTCATATTTTAATATATAAATGTTTCGTAATAAAATTATTTCAGAACATTTACATCTGCTTATTCAAGAATCATTAGATCATGCAGATTTAACGGTATTAACAGCTACTTTAGGAGCAGCTGCGTTAATTCGAAATTGTCTATGGTGTTATAATCAACAAACTAAAAGTTCAATTTCCCCACAATCAAGGTATTTATATATGATGTTCCAGAAAATTTTAATATTTAAAGATTTTTATTGCAATAATAATAACTCAATTTATTAATTAATTTATTTAATTATAAACCTCAAAACTTTTTAGTAACGAAACAATATATACAATGGTAAAATTCAAATAACGATGTTCACGATTATTTTAATACTTTGAATGATTTATATGTAGCTTTTAAATTATACTTGTAGTTATATTATATGGATAAAAAAATTACAAAGTTGATTATAAACTGCAAATGTTTATTTTATAAATTACAAATTAAATTTTATGTGCTATTATGCATTTTTAATTACATTTGGTAACCTAATACCACATAATCTTTATATTCTAGTATGAACTATAATATAAATAATCATAAACTTATGTCCATTGCATTAAAATAAAATAAAAATTTGATTACTATACACGTATATCGTTCAAATTATGTGACAACTTCCGTAAATTAAAAAAATTTTGTTTAAAAGAAAAAAAAGAAAAAATGAACCTTTCTCTTACTAGAAAAATATTATTCATCTTCTCTTTTTATCGTCTTATACATTCTTCTAAATATAAATCGATACTCGTTAAAATAATAATTTTAATAAGAATATATAATTACAGAAAATGACGAACATTTAAAATAATTAAATAAGAATATTTAATAAAGATATTGTTTTCTAGATTTACAAATTTGATTACTTTTGAAATTTTCAGTTCTAAAATCATGCTTAAAATCCCTTAATTACTCATTTAAATATTTTTATGCACTTTTCCCTTTAAATATATATTTTATTTTTTAAACACTTCTATCACAACGAAAATTTTGGTATAACTTACATAAATATCGATTACGTATTTTTTAGTGTATTTATATATTTTTTTAAATTTACTGGAATTTACATCTGATTAATTTGTTCGTGTAAACTAAATGCGTAACAGAATTATATTTATACACTATTTTGTATTTATAATTATATTTAACATCACATTACACTCATAACATTACATTTAATATCGAATTATACAAATATTACAATTTAATTATTCATATAATAAATATCGTTATGATGTCTCTAAATAACAATATTATTCAGAATGTAGTTAAAAAACTACATTGTTATATAGCATGTTTTATATTAGATATATATGTTAATGAGTTCAAAAAGCAGAAGCAATTACGAGATAAATTATTTATAATTTTATGATTACATTTTTCTAATTATTTCAAATAACAGTAAAATTTTTCAAAATTCGTCTCCAATTTCTTTCTCGTTTAATATACTAATTATTTATTTAATTAATTAGCTACTACATTGTCAAAATATAATAGAGTTAAAGAATCCTGTTGTGTTCATCGATTCATGAACAGTATTAATACTTGCACGCGGCATAAAAATCTTATTTCAATAATAATAGTATTACATCACTGTCGTTTCAATATTTCAAAAATTTTTGATACAAACTCTTCATTAATTTAGACTTCGTCCATATTTAATTGTAATTAATTTTCATAATTCTTGTTTCATGTAGCGAGAGATTAAATACGTCGTACAAGTCTTACCATGAAATGGCTGAAGCTGTAGCAGAACGATTACTGGATTTACATTGTCGTTTAATATCTTTATACATACTCAACGAAGCTGAATCTCTTAGTTGGCATGGCAGTAAGTCATTTTTTGAACGAGAGCGTTGCTCTTTCGTAATACAAATGTGGTGGCTGTACATGCAAGGTAACTATTGTACTATACAGGATGTTCTAGCAACGGTGGTACAGCCAGCAAGGGGGTGATTCTACATGAAAAAGTAAATCGAAAATAAAGATTACAATTTTTTCATTCAAAGCATCAATTTCGAGAAAATTAATTTTGAATATTCACCGAGCGCGCGTGCACTTAGCTATAGCTTGTATGGATAGACCATTAAGACATGAATATTGATGGAATAACCGAAGAGTGGGTGATTCTATATGAAAAAATAAATCGAAAATAAAGAATAAAGTTTTCTCATTTGAAGCTTCGTTCTCGAGAAAATCGACTTTGAATATTTACTGAGTACGCTGGTACACTAGATGACCATTTAAACAGGTCAAAATTAAGTGCATCCGTATTCGGTGAATTCTCAAAGTCGATTTTCTCGATAACGAAGCTCCGAGTGAAAAAATTTTATTCTTTATTTTCAATTTGCTTTTTCATGTAGAATCACCCCCTTCCTGGCTGTACTACCGTTGTTGGACATCTGTATAAACACAGCTATATATTACAAAATCAAAAAGTAGAATATTTTCAATTTATTTTTGTAAACATAATGGAACACTGTAGCGTTTGATATTGGAATTTGAGGTGAATTTTTCGAAATATCGAAATTTCAAAATCGAAGGAAGTTTCAAGTTTCGAGAATTCGAAATTTCACTTTTTTTTTTGTAGTTCGAAATTTCTGAAATAATCGAAATCAATGAATAAGGAAAAAAATATTTCATCATGCAACTATAGGATTATAGATAATGGATCAGCACTATAATTAATAAAAGGAAGAAGTAAATTAGGTCCCAAAAAAGTTTTGATGATATTTAACGTGTTAAATATTTACGATATAATTAATTTTTACAAATTTTTATATTCTCATACTTTTAGGAACAAAGACAGACTTATGGAACACCGTATCCCCAAAAATGGCACAACGCATTTTTTCTGGGATGTTGAATGAATCCTTATCAATTATCGTTACGAGATTTATTTATGTAAGTGTACCTCCAAATACATATGCATGTTGTTAGTCATTTACATTAACCTCTCTCTTACGACAGTACTCTTCTTCTTGATTATTTAAGATTAGTTTAAAAATTTACTGTACCATAGTACGATACAAGTTGTAACAAATTTTATAATCTATTATCTTGAGAAAATTAACTCGTTATTATATGTGAATAAACGATAGTAATCGTTATACAGAATCGTTTAAAATTAAATAAGAAAAAGTGATATTAGATACTGACCAGAACTTTTATTTTATTTTTACAATCTTTTTTCCAATGTTCAATTATATTAAACATTTCGTGATATACTTATACCCTTAATCCTTTCACGAATATAATCGTATAATTTGTGAAAATAATATTGCGCAGACAATATGACACACATAGCAAGAAAGAAATTTCAAGATTATATCAGAAAATAATCCTGTAATAAAAATAAATAAAATCAGGAAATAATTTAACAATACATACGATAAACATTTATTGCAGATATGAGTCGTGGTGGCGCTAGTGAGTTAAATAGAAAATCGTCTTAAAATTACTAGAATGCTTACTCGTGAAAGGGTTAATATTCTTTATCATTATATCGATTAACATTTTATAATTAATATCTGCATTTCTTTGCTAATGAAAAAAGATATTATAAATAATTAGAATTCTTTGCTTTTATTTAAGTTCTGGAAACTGACAACCATAACAGGTACTTAGATCATACTGTATCGGTACAATGATAAAATAATAAATTACAATAATACAATGACAAGTAGAAGAAATTAAATTAATTGACGAATAAATTTTTAATGATATTATGATATTAATGATTATTATTGCACCATAATATATTTAAGTAGAATAAATTTTATAAATTTTATAAAAATTCTATAAAGATAGAATATGATATATGATACGATAAATAAAATAAAATATATTTTACAATAAAAAATATAAAATACAAAAAAAAAATTTGAAATTAAAATTCAAATACAATACAGTAAAACACATGTTAATTACAAATAGGGTCGACCGAGTTTGGCACGATCTGAGCAATTTTGGACAGATGCCTTTAACGTTCTCTGCTGTACCGGATATCTTGCTTTGGGTGCTTGTGTAAATGCGAATGAAATGATTGGAATGAAATTAAATAGACTGCCCACTGCTATTAGGGATATACATACAAAATGCAATGAGTTGTTGATCTGTTTGTTGTTAAGGGGTACACCTCTTCAAGAATTATATCAGGTATAATAGTAATTACTTAAACAAGTATCATATGTAAACTATGCTGTAATATATTTTATAATTTTCCTTATTTTTCTTGAATTAATTAATTTAGTTTTGTTTCTTCCACGAATTAATAATTATTTATACAGATATATATCGAAAAATTTTATTCATTTTTAATTTTGTTTTTTTAAATATTTTTCAATTATGTATCTTCGTTAATTTCTTTTCCTTTTGTCAATTGTTAGAATTTTGTGTGGAATAAATTGAAGAAGAAGAAGATTCAAAATATTTTCATCAATTTTTTTTTTAAATATAATAACGAACTTAGTCTTTCTGATCATTAAACACGATTATACATAATTTCGCTTCAATCTGTGGAAGCAAATAAGCAGAGTACACAATAAAGAACATATCAAACAATTTTATCGTGTTACTACAGAAAACTACGGTATTTTTTGCACACATACCATTTTTAGAGCAAAAAATATAAATTTTGATTCAACGTGGAATAATATTTATTGTTTCTTAAAATAAAGATCATGAAACTCTTTTATATAATTTTAGACAAATACATACTTTGATAAACATTGTAGAAAAGATTTAAAAAAAGAATGTATTCTGTATATTATTACTTTATTATTCATTTTATAATATACAAATACAATATTTATGTTTGTGTAAATTACAATAAAAGTATTTAATTTGCTACTTATCTTTATTTATTTATATTTACAAGTTATTTTATTCAATAAAAATATTTATTGCATTAATTTGTGAAATCACTTTGTTTTTAAAGAATGAGACTGAAAATAATTCAAATTTTTTAAAGTTTTTTAGTACTTTCTTATGTATTTTTTATTTAGTTAATGAAATATAAACATATATTAAATTAATTTTTGGAATTACTTTTTTTTAAGTACTGTATAGAACTGTATCGAAGTGTAAATATTCTAATTTAATATATGGTAATTTTTTAATTTTATAATAATTTTCTATTCATTTAATGAAATTTGATATTAGAAGTCGCTGCTTTTTTTTAAAGTATGGAAATGAAATTTTTAAATTTCTACTTTAAGCTAAATTTTATGGTAATTTGTTACTTTAAATTTTATTAAATTTCCATTACAGGCATTTCGTGTTGGTTTTGAAAATTTAGCAATATTAAAACCACGTCGTGAACCTGCTCCCTGGTTATTAATATGTGCACCAAATTTATTAGGTTCTACCGATTCTGATGTTTACGTCTCAAATTTATCTGAAGATCGAGTTGTGATTTTAGAATTGAACGTTCTTAGACATCAACCCCAACCGAATTGGCCGCAATTAATGAAGGTACTTATACTATGACTATTAATAGTATCTCCTAGAAAGTATATTTTTACAAATTTTAATTTTTTTTTATAATTTTTCAATGTTTTTGTTATAAAAAATCAGAAAAAGCATTTAAGATTGTATATAAACAGTAAATTCGTTTCTTGTAAATTTTTTATTTTTACAACTATCTTTGTTATATATAATTATTTTTTAAATAAGGTCAATAAATAGCTACACTTGTAATTATAATTCTACTTTTTCATTGAATATAAAGAAAAATTATTCAAATATTGAACCTTATGCAATTGTAATGAATGAATCTATTGATAAGTATACAAGTTTTCTTAATCACTTAATTCAACAGACATGTTTGCATAATTGAATATCCTATTCTTAAATTTTCACAGGTAATCCTTATGAATAACTATGCAGTGGCAAAAATATTATTGAACACTCTAATCCACAAATGTGATAAATTTACATGTGAAAATGATTTTGAAAATTTTGAAAAGTTCAAACTAAATGAAAAGAACTGTGGTGGTTTTTTATGCAGTAGCATAACATGCAATCCATCAATGAAAATAACACCAGAGTTAAGCCTTTATAGTTTAATGTACATTTTGACATATGTAGCACATGATCCTGGTAATGTTATTGTGCCAGCTTTAAAGCAAGATCCAGAGTGGTGCAATTATCTTAATAGACAACAGGTATTCATTAAAGTATTAAAAAATGAGATTTAAAAATATTATTAATGTATATGACATTTATGATTATATGAATTTATCGGTCTAGGTTTGGAATCAATCAAGACCACCCTGGCTGAATGCAATTTTAAATCCCTTAAAGGACATGATGCCACCAATCATTGAAATACTGTTAGAAGCTGTAAGAGTAAGTTGTCAACAGTAATTGTAGAGTTATATATTCTTTAAATTAAACATTAAAATATAAATGTAGATATATTTAAGCTCAACATATTCTATTGCACACATAATGAGACTCTATTGATTTGATAAGAAGAAATTTTCAAACTTAAAATGTTAATTTTTTATTAAATAATCTCATTATCTAAACTATTTTTTTTATTTAATTTAATGTTTAATATTCTTAGGATTATCCTTTTATTTAATTTTACAAGGATATTTTTGCCACTCTCTTGATTATTTTAAGGATATACAATATACGCAATATACTTACAAAATATTATGGATTTCTCAACTATTTTTAAAAGACTTACATCTATGAACCTTCTGATCAACTTGTTTCCAACTTAGTGTGTACATTTTCTCTTTAAATATCACAAAATGTTTAGCTGAAATTGGATAATATTCAGTTAACAAACTTAATAATAGGACAATTTTGGCTTTTATATTCATGAATTTTATGAGTTTATAATTATGAAAAAGATTGATAAACATTGATATTTCAATCAAAGTAACCTATTCATAATTTTCAGACAGGGGCTAGTATGTATCAAGCAATGTCTTTGGTAATTGGTTGTTTCACTGAATTGTATGTAACATTACCATCTGCAATTTTGAAGACTATACTTGCACTGAATGATAATATACCTGCTCATTGTCATCCAATTGGAGGAAATGTTCTTCTTCATGTTCTATGTGCTTCTCTTTATACTGCCCTTATTGACTACTCAAAACATTGTGAAACGGAAATTCAAGATGATTTGACATCTAGAGAAATAGATTATGAATTAAATTTCTTTGATCCCAATGATATATCAGGAACTGTGATTGCATTGGCTGAAGCTATTTGCAGCATCGATGAAGACAATAAGCATACTTCTCAAATCAATGATTTCTTTCAACTTGTAAAAAAGAAGTAAGATTAATTTAACAATTTTTGTAAACCTCTTATAATGTATGAAAAATTATCTTTTATTATTTTGAAATATATTTTTATTACTTATGAAATTATTTATTAGAATTAAAAATCCTAGTTTGTACATTATTGAAACAAATAGGAAATAACTTGTTTGTTTTTATTTTTTATTATTTTCTAAGGAAATATAATTTGTCAACACTGATTAATTAGATGAAGAAACTCAACAAATTTAACTGAGGCTAAATTAATCTTTTCTGTATTTTGTTTCATGAAAATTTTATAAAAGGATTATTTTAATAAATTATATATAAACTTATATCACTTAATTATACTAAAGATTTTATACTACAAGATATTATACCTAATTATTATTTTTGCATAAAGACACGTAATGTAGGTACTTAAACCATGAAATGAAAATATTAATTGGATCCATGACATTATGTACATATTTAAGTTTATAACAATTCCTGTACTACTGGACAATTCGTATGATGCAATTTAAAGTAACATAATTAATATAATATATTTTACAATCGCCCATAAGTCTATACAAACTAATTTGACTAATGATTAAATTTAAATGGACAGATTTCTTTAACGCACTATGATTAATCTTTTAGCGTACAAGCATCGAATATGAATCCTTGCTACAATGAATCAACCATGTCTTCCATTATTGATACGTATACCGATGAACTGTTGTTTACTAGTTCTGGACGTCAGGCTTTAAAGGCAAGTAAGAAGAAAATATAAAAAAAACTATTTTTATTAATTTATTATATTTATATCTTAATTAAAAAATAAAAGTTTTCATTGCAGGTAATACATGAATTTTTAATTCGTGTATCTGATTTAGTGTTAAATAATTTACGACAAAATAATGTTAATAAAATTGTGGGCCATATACCCGAAATTTCGCCCCTTCTTAAACCATTGACTCATATAATGTTCCATATCGAAGATACAGAATTTGATCAGGTTAGTAAAATTGCAATAGTGTGGTAGGATAAATAAATAGTAAAATTAATTAAACAAATATCTCGTTATTTAATTATACACAAATTATTGCTTTACTAAATCTCGAATAAAAAAAGGTTTAAATTGAATTAAACAGAATCTTTATACCTTTATAATTACAAGGATTAATTTTGATTACTATTTTACATTCTATGTACTAATAATTTTCATTAATTGTTAATTTCCTATTCGACGCATATTGATAAAATAAATAATCAAAAGTAATGCCATATGTGTTTATTTACTTTCTAGCAATTTAATTCATGTGTTAATTATAATTATTTATTTTATCAATATGTATCGAATAGTAAAATTAACAATTAATGAAAATTATTAATATAAATATGATACAATATATTTTTAATAGAAATAAAATTCTACCTTAATAAATAGAGATTTCGTAGATGAAGAAATTTTTACATCGAAAATTTACATATTTAGAGTGAGTGATGAAGCGCTATTTTATTTGCAGTTTCTTATAGAGTATGACAAAACAAATTGGAGAAAAATTTTGAATATGCCGCTTTCTATTTCTGACGACCATGCACGGAGTCAACTTTTGTCACGACCAGAATTTAAAAATGTCGGTGAATTGGATCACAAAGATAAAGAAGCAGTGTGTTCGCTTAAAAAGCTTTGCTCTTCTACAAAAACCGCTCATTTTAAATAATGATATTTTACAGTATCTTAAATAATATTTTAAATTACAGCACTTTATAGTTTAATTGCATACCATATACATAATAACATTTTAATTAGAGTACTTTTACATTACAGTGTCTTAAATTATAGTATTCTTAATTATAATAATCGTAAACTATAAAATTTTTAATAACAATTTCAAATTATAGTACACTAAACAATAGTAATTTGAAATTACAATATCTTTAATTTATAACGCTTGTAATGATAATGTTTTAAACTACAATGTTTGTAATTATAGTACTTTAAATTACACTATATTAATTTTTAATTATAATATTTAAATAATAAATACATTATATAATATGAATTATTATAAACTGCGGATAACGGACGTACTCCCGTTTTCAGCCTCTAAATATATTCTATTTTCTTTGTTAAAGTAATATAGTAAGAGGTTGAGACACCGATAAACTTTCTCTTCTCTTCCCGATACCGGATGACGCGACAAAAAAATAAACAGAATCTTTATACCTTTATAATTACAAGGATTAATTTTGATTACTATTTTACATTCTATGTACTAATAATTTTCATTAATTGTTAATTTCCTATTCGACGCATATTGATAAAATAAATAATCAAAAGTAATGCCATATGTGTTTATTTACTTTCTAGCAATTTAATTCATGTGTTAATTATAATTATTTATTTTATCAATATGTATCGAATAGTAAAATTAACAATTAATGAAAATTATTAATATAAATATGATACAATATATTTTTAATAGAAATAAAATTCTACCTTAATAAATAGAGATTTCGTAGATGAAGAAATTTTTACATCGAAAATTTACATATTTAGAGTGAGTGATGAAGCGCTATTTTATTTGCAGTTTCTTATAGAGTATGACAAAACAAATTGGAGAAAAATTTTGAATATGCCGCTTTCTATTTCTGACGACCATGCACGGAGTCAACTTTTGTCACGACCAGAATTTAAAAATGTCGGTGAATTGGATCACAAAGATAAAGAAGCAGTGTGTTCGCTTAAAAAGCTTTGCTCTTCTACAAAAACCGCTCATTTTAAATAATGATATTTTACAGTATCTTAAATAATATTTTAAATTACAGCACTTTATAGTTTAATTGCATACCATATACATAATAACATTTTAATTAGAGTACTTTTACATTACAGTGTCTTAAATTATAGTATTCTTAATTATAATAATCGTAAACTATAAAATTTTTAATAACAATTTCAAATTATAGTACACTAAACAATAGTAATTTGAAATTACAATATCTTTAATTTATAACGCTTGTAATGATAATGCTTTAAACTACAATGTTTGTAATTATAGTACTTTAAATTACACTATATTAATTTTTAATTATAATATTTAAATAATAAATACATTATATAATATGAATTATTATAAACTGCGGATAACGGACGTACTCCCGTTTTCAGCCTCTAAATATATTCTATTTTCTTTGTTAAAGTAATATAGTAAGAGGTTGAGACACCGATAAACTTTCTCTTCTCTTCCCGATACCGGATGACGCGACAAAAAAATTAGTTTTAATTACTATAAGTTGAATTAAGTTTTCTACTATGTTGTATTGCGCATCGCGGCCTGCACCGAATTCGGTGTTCCGCTTACGAATATATCGTTATAACTAACGGGGATGCAAGGTGCCACAAATAATTTTTATACAGCCATCTTCAGTACATTCCAAGGAATACAACCATATAAGATTTATTGCAAATTCGCGTGAACTCCGCTTTCTGCATGCTGCTATATAGCCAAGAATACGAAAAAAGTGGGTTTCGGTAGAATCTCTATTACAAGCGTTAAAATATGAATATTTCACTTTTCTTTCACAAATATATAGCTAAAAGACCGCACGTCAATACTATATCAACAAATATAAACTGACCTTTATCGTTATAAAGATACAGTGCAGCAATTTCAGTAAAATAACGCGATCACCTTAAAGCAGGCATTTTTTCCTATTTTCAAAGCTGAAAGAAATTCTGGATAATTTATAGCTGTTTTCGTGTACACCATAACGTTTTTCAGACATTTGAGAATATATGGTTAAAATTTGATGAATTCTCAAGAACATCAGAAAATTGAATAAAGTCCATGTTTTTGGCGATCCCAATCATTATGCGACGCACGTTCGTACCGGTTCAGGTTTTGCTCCCATAGCTCGCGAGGACAAACACGTGCGTGCTAATGATCTCTTCATATAATATACTTCGGTAGGTAGTATAAACAAATCGACTGTTAATCGATTGATTCAGAACCATGCTATTCAGCCGATTAGCCCGCGAAAATAGGATCCTGTTTTCAGTGCTGATCTGTACTGACATTGGTTCCTAAATGCTACCGGCATTGACTCCGTCATCACCCTTACCCTCGTCCGTCGAGTCGATGTACGACATTATACAGTCAACCGAGGTTAAAGTCTAATGAAGTCTTACTCCGTCGTCGATTATATTATAGTCATCAAAAACGATCCGCGAAACGTGCCCCCAGCAAAGCAGAAGGACGACTGGGCGCATACACATGCCAGAGCACGAGTGTACGCATCGGGGATCGAGGTTCTAGAGAGATCAGAACCATCGAGAACGTTCCGTGACGCGTAACCTCCGCGAAAGCAAAGAATGACCGGGGGCCCACTTTTCATACGTAGACCTCCGTATAAATACACCTTATAAATGCCTCGTATACGATGATACGTATAAAAAGTGGATTCCCAATCTCCAGGACAATCAATCCTTCCAAAAAGTCTACTGGAATCTTACTCCATCGTCGATTTTATGCAACTGATACCCTAGATTGCGCACTACGCGCGTGATCTCGTACGGTTCAAGATATTTGTGCGTTACCTTGATGGCTGATCCTCTCAAGGTTCGCTTGTTAGCAACTATACTCCGTTCAATGACAATTGTATCACTTTCCAATGACACAAATTTTTTCGTTCAAATTTCATTTTATTTTTACCAAAGCTCGTAATAAAAATTTAAGTTCATGTATCACAGAAATGATTTATTTTAGAGAGCTCCTTTACAAGGTATTCCAAAACTGATATTAAAATATAGGATTAATTGTACAAGATAATTTGACTACATTCTCTAAACTATAATACTTCTGCAGATATTGTTTTGCGAACAATCGAAATACTCATGAAAATTCTTTCTAGTTATTGATTTACTACTACAATAAATATAACAATGCGCGCAATACAATACATACAGGATGTTCCAGCAACGGTAGTATAAACTGAGTAGGAGGTGATTCTATACGAAAAAACAAATCGAAAAGAATAAAATTTTTTCATTCGAAGCTTCGTTCTCGAGAAAATCGACTTTGAATATTCACCAAGTACCTCCCTTCTGGTTGTACTATCGCTACTGGGACACCCTGTACACACAGGAAATACATTAGTTAATCAAAGCGATTGAAACGTAAAACTCTCAAATTATAATGCCGCATATTTGTTCATTACATACATTAGTAGCACGTGTCTTTACAAGTACAGCCATTAAACACACGTGACTATTCAATGGAATCTTTTCATGACATTATAATTCATTGACTATTTCGCAAGACAAAATGTAACACTTCATTCCAGATAAAACTGTTGGCGCAAACAATTTTTTAAATAATTCGTACATAGTTAATAACGGTCCTTTCATAAGACCTTCAAGTGTAACCTATGAAAGCCAGAAAGTGATAACAAAATAGCCTCATTTTTGTTGAATTTTAAAACTTCTTCTCAATATTCACATTTGTTTCTTTTTCTTTGAAAACTTTTAATGCAAGCTGGTACAACGATCACAGCATACCAAATAATTTCACAATTCTTGCAACAGTCAGTCGCACGAGTCAGAAAATATACGAGACACCCAGTTTCTAAATCTCAGGCCTACCCGAGTACATTATAAAATGCCTCCAACATTATCCGACTTCGAACAGATGAAATTTACAAGATCGCAAATATTTGTCGAATTATATTATCCTTTCACTTAATGCCAGGAATGGCTGATGTTCGAAATATTTATTTGCACAAATGATTCGGTTAAAACCATAAAACAATAAATATTTATTGCTTTAAATCTACAGTTGAAACTAATGTAGATCTGCGTTAACACCGAATACGTGAAAACCCTGTATGATCATTTTATCTACATCGTACAACTATCTGATATACAAGTACTTGACCTTTGCTATTCTTACGTTCAAGAAAAACGTTTGATAGGACACCTGGCACTGGTGAGACTACTGACAAGTTCCAGATAAAACGCAATTTACTCTCATTTTGCTTCATCCTTGCTTCTTCTCTGCTTTTCCCTCTTTTCAATGTTACATCTGCCACCATAATTCTCACGTTTTCCATTTTCCAACGAACTGCTGTTTCAACTGCAAGTAAAAACAATTCTACAATTTCGGTACTCTTTATTCTCTCGATTCAAAGAACCTTTCCATCAGCCTTACGTCTTCGTTCCATACTCACCTCCTTGAAAACGCAGAAAGGTGCTCGTTAATCGTTTGTTTTATAATTACTTTGGTAGCAAGTGCATTGTTGGAATTCAGTAATTCATCGAGGAATCATTTGTAAAACGTTAGATTTGAACAGTCAAACAGTTCGTTGAATAGCTCTATTTTCCATATGGTACAATTCTTCTGCGTTTTCATCATTATGACATTTGTTATCTTCGATAGGGGTTTGAAATACTCGTATCTAAAATTTCAAGTAAATTTTGATAGTTTGCACTGCTGTGGATAATATTTCCTCCGAATCTGCACAATGAGCACGAAGGAACTGCGACGAGGCTTTATCCATTCTTTTCCTTTTCTGAAAGCAACTGGTCGACATCGCGATAATGCTATCTTCAAAATTCTCGCTGTAAGGTCACTCAAAGATAAATTGCATACTCAAATATCTTCCAGAAACAATATAATTTGATGGAATGTATTAAAGCCAACAAAAATCGTAAAAGTTTACACAGTGTCCCAATAATATACAATCTTGTTTATGTCATTATACTATGCTGGAATGCAGTAATTTACTAGTCCATTACGCTTCAATTCCCAGTAAATACGAGAATAACAATTACATATAATATTAATATAGCAACAAAAAATAGATTTCTCTTACTATTGGAAAACAGACTTTTTAAAGCCCCATACCCATAATGTTCCAATTTTTCAATTTAATATAATTTGTCGATATAGACAATAACGTCTTTTATAAATGATATTGTCAACAAAAATTCTAGACTATGTAACAAGTCATTGATTTAACGTGGTTTACAGCATTATAAGAATATGTATAAAATATCATCGAATATTACTATCAATCTACAATAGAAAATTATTTTATTCCAAAAATATATATGTGTATAAAAAATATATTTGTATCCGTGGCTTACGATTAGGTAGAATTTTTTAAATTTATCGAATAAAAACATGAATTTTCATTCAATAAATCCCATGTCTAGCAATACATATATATTTAGCTTTCAACACGTCCAAATACATTTTTAAGGTATTTTTATCACCGTTCTTTTTAAGAACTTGAATTAATGTATTTCCTTGATCATTGCGAGCATTTATTACAGCTTTGAACTGTTTAGAATTTATTGCTCTTACTTTGTTAACGAGCCTGATATTACCATTTTCCGCGTCCACAAACAATTCTTTTATTAATTTTAACTAACTGATAATATCAGGATCAATAGAAAGACTAAACGGCGTCTTGTCGTTATTATTTTTCGCGTTATACTCTGCGCCGTGTTCCAGTAAGGTCTGAAAAATTTTCAAATTATTATATTTAGCCACAATGTGAAGTGACGTGCTACCGGTCTTAACGGTTTTAGTATTAACAAAATTATATAATTCGTCGCGATTTACATGCTGCAAAAGATTTTTAACAATCTGTTCGTGACCTCTGAAAGTGGCAACGTACAACGATGTTTTACCCTGGCTATTAACCGAAGCAACATCTGCTTCATATTTTAAGAACACGTTTACGATATCTGCCTTACCACTTTCAATACTGTCACATAACAATACGGAGCAATTCAAATCTGCAACAGTAACATCAGCACATTTTTCAAAAAACTGTTCAATTACTTTGACGTCATTATGCTTCATCGCAAGAATTAACATTTCTCTTACAATATTTATAATCGTTACATTACTTGGATGTTTTAGCGGTTATTCCATCTTGAGTCTTTCAATTAGATCGCAAAGTATTTCTGAAGCTTCGATATATTTTAACTGAGAAATAAGTATTTTAGATATGATACCCATTGTTGAGAATGTCTCTCCATGATCTTCCCCCAAATTCTTTCGGTGACCGTGATATACCTCCCAAAACATTCTCAAAGCTTCTTCATAGTTTCCACGAGCTAAAACTACTAGAGCTAAATTATTTTTTGCCGTATGGGTATAATAATGATTAGGAAATATAAACTTAAGTTTATTATAATTTTCTTCAAAAATTTGCTGTGCTATGTCGAATTTCTTTTGAATATAAAACTCGAAACCCATCTTATTTTTAGTGTTCAAAGTGGTCGGATGATCATCTCCGAAACGTTTTCTTTCTATTTCATATTGTCGCTGGGTAGAACTAAGAGCTTCATTATTCTCTGCTGTATTGCAGAGTGCTTCAAAACTTTCAGATATACGATCGTTTATAGTTGTAATCACAGGATGAATCTCCGTAAAAATGCGTTTCCATTTACTTAGTAATTCAGTAAAGCTCTGTAAAGCAATTTCATATTTCCCTTGATAATATAATATCTGCGCTTTAGTTAAGAAACTATGCAAAGTGTCAGGATGCTCAACACCTAAAATCTGCTCTTGTTTATTCAAAACATCCTGACAAATTACCATTACCTCATCACATTTGCCTTGTTGTCTTAACGTTTCCGCAATGAAACTACGAGTTTTTAAAATGTCAGGGTGGTCTGAACTAAGAACTTGTTTCTGAAGATTTAGTACTTCTTGAAACACATTAAGAGCATCAGGTAATCTGCCTTGCTTATAAAATGCTACGCCTATATTATATTTCATTAAATAGATACGAGGATGACACTGCTTTATAGTTTAGATGTAATTTTATATACTTCTTGCAACATTTTTAAGGCTTCACTTTGTCTTCCTTGTTCCAGGAATATACCGGCAACCATACCTTGTGTACTCAGCGTGCTAACATGATTTTCTCCCAAAATTTGTTTTTGTGTTGTATATACCTTTCTAAGCATTTGTAAGGCTATATCATATTTACCTTGTTTGCAAAATACTGCAGCTATGTCAGATTGAATACTTAGCATCTCTGTATTTTTATTACAATACCCGTCGTTAGCTAACAAAGCATCTAATGCTATATGATAGTATTTTAAAGTTTCGTCATATTTGCCTTGGTGAAAGAATACCAAACCGACATTATAGGCTACAGCTATAGATTCCAAATAGTATGGCTCAGCAATAATTTCGTTCAAAACTTTTTGAAAAATTTCACCAGCTATATTATAGTTTCCTTGGTGCATATGTATCAATCCCATAACATTTTTTGTCATCGACAAATGATATCGAACAATGTTGTTATCTTGTGATAGGGTATTTAACAAAGTCAAAAATCTCTGGCAGAATGAGAATGCTTCCTCGTACCTAACGCTCATCATAAATTCACGAATTATAAAATCTGCGACAAAGGCATACTTTATCACCAGTGCACTACATTTCTCTGTATAATTCCAAACAGATATTGCATGATTCATATTTTCTGTATTTACTCCGTTGTCGATGAAATATTTTAAAGCTTTTGTTAAAATTTATTCGTCTTTATTTTCATATTTTAATCTTCTTCTTATTACTTCCTGTACTAATTTATGTATACTAAATGCCGTACCTTCTAAATTAATTATTGAATACTGTTTTAATAATAGGATAGCAGAGCCTACTTTGTCCTCACAGTCTATAATATTTACAAATATTTTTGTAGATATATCTTCAGAAGCTAAGTAAGATGCGATACCTAATATTATTAAAGCATTACTACCATTTTCACTTTGACTTATTATATCAAAGGTAATATTCCAAGTTGTGACTATTGTTTCAATATAATCATTACTTGTGCCTTGACTTTCAAAACATCCTACCTTTTCATTATACTTTTCCAAATAATTGTCTATTTTAAACTCTGAACCCACAATTTTTAATTTCTCATCTTCTGTTTTTATATAAGATACAGTTTGTTGTAACGCTAAGGGAAAGCAATGTAATTTCTTTGCCAACACTCTAATAACATTATCTTGTACATCAGTTTCTATCTTAAGGGATTTTTTAATGAATTCTACAGCTTCGTTCTCCTTAAATATATCTAATTCTAATATGTGCACATTACTTGGCCAATATTTATTGCGAGAAGTAATTAAAATATATGATTTATTAGAGGAGCATGGTGAACATGGCAAAAAATTTTCTATACCATAATCAAATTCATTCTCACTTTTATATTTTACAGCATTATCAAAAATAAAAAGACATTTACTAGCAGACAAAAGCTTATATACATCCTCAACTATAGAACATATTTTCTTTTCTTTATTATCTGCATTTATCGTGCTAACCCCTAACTTGTCAGAAGCTAATCTGTGAAAAGATTCCACAAGTGTTTGGTAACTTTCGACGAAGGAAAGGAATCTATCTCCACCTTTATCCATCAACCAATTCAACATTTTGCGAAAAAATTTATTATATACATTTTCTGTGACAAGCCCTGTGACAAGAGTTAGTCGTTAACTACTATGCATCTACTGTAGGACTGAATGCCCACTAATTCTTACCAACTCGCTCATTCTAACGTCATTACAGAAGTAGATAAATGCGTTTCCCTTATTGACAAAAATAATCTCTTCCTATTAGCCTTATCATATTGCTCCGTGCGACAAAGCAAACAAAACCATCGTGATAAAGTGAGACAGACGTAAGGAATAAATGAATGAGCGTAGACACATCCTTATAGCATTATCTTCATACTCTTCTAGTGAATGTTTATTTCAGAATTTTATTTAACTATACTTGTATTTCATACATGTATTAAATACCTGTTCAGTATTTATGAAGAACAAGTAAAAATAATCATGTTTCGTTTTTGCTGTTTTATTCTCATTCTCGCAGGTTTGCAATGTATTATTAGAGTATAGAAATTTTGTGTATATCTTACACCTATATTAACATATATCGTTATCGAGCCTGAAGATAGCGGTTTCTGCAGTGTCAGATTAGCGATGACTACTGTTCCGTCCCGAAGAATGTGTTTATAACATGATTTTTATTCTAATGCTCATACCTTAACAGATCTAACGGTTTACGATATATTTTATATCGCGACTGCAATTCCGGAGGATAGGTGTGCCTCACCGCCGTTCTAGCGGATTAAGTTGCAAAGGTAAAGGCGAAAGTTTAGGAATTTTTACAAGTACCAGACTCGACAGATGGGACCCACGTGTGACAGACCCAACGAGCGACGGACGGACACCGCTTATAAATCGCGTCATTGACCATCAAAAATCGGCTCCTTGACAGTTTCCTACTCCTTAGCCAAAGGTCCTTCCGTCACACCCTCTGTCCAATTAAAACTCCTTACTTTTCCACCACCAACGTTTATTTTGCCCAATCAGAACTAAACTGGAGAAAACACCGGACAGGACAAAACGAGACACGACATAGATCAAATTCGAGAAATCGGTTCGTCTTCGACACCGATCCTTGAAATATCTTACTTACACGTATAAACGCGTGTTCGAAATGGTACTCCGTTCAACGTCTCCATTATAACTATTCTATACTTTTCTATAAATAAACACTCTCTTTCGACCACACACTCTGGATCCTTATTATTACAACTAGTCACGCAATGTTAATTTGGCGCGTGATAAGCGTTCTAGGCATCGAAGGGATTCGATACGGTAGGACGCTACAACTACGATCGATCCTGTCTGGCGAATGGGCTGAAATACCCCCATTGACCTTTTAACGAAACGTTAGTTTTCCAAGAGCACCGTATTGTAAGTAGGTTGTTCGGCCTCGCGCAGTTCTACTTCACGAAAATTGGACCTTACATTATAGTATTTTAAATTACGGTATTTGTAGTATTTTAAATTATATTAATTTAAACTTATACAGATTAATTAACTAATATAGTGAATGATCGGATTAGTAAGTCGAAAGGTACTTTTGATTCTGATTATATTTTATATTTCTTGTCGGCATAAAATAAACAGAAGCTCGAAGTCTTCTATGACGCGTGATGCAGACGGTGGACTGTTGAGAAGTATATATCAACGAACCTTTCAGCTAGGTTTTTATAGGCGCCATGACAACTCATTGCTTCGAGAATTAATAACTGGATGGTTCCTCGAAGCAAAGATAGATCTCGTTGCAGGGTGACGCCATCTAAATAAAGATTCTTCTCACGCTATTGTGGTTTATTTAAATTTTCAAATCATTGAATCCTATCACTATCCTCGTTTCCTTCTTTTTACTATCTTCGTCAATTGAAACGTAAATAAATCTTCCAGTCCAAGGAATAATTGCAGATCAAGTCAATTAAATGCTTTGTCTACAGTTTTATCTTTTTATTACAATAACTCGCACAAAGTAGAGCTTGTTTTTATTTAAGGAATTGAACAAATTCTTTTTTATTTTCTCTGACTGTGGAAAGATCGTTGATTAAAATGACGAAAGGATTACCTTTTCAGACGGATATATTTTCCCATAAACAGCAACATTCTTTTCGAGAGTCACATTTATTTAATTTTCAAAGTTACTGAGTTTATTTTCAAAGGAATTCAACATAAGTTATTTCGAAGCTTATCGATCAAATTCGTATCTAATTAATCGAGTTATATATAAATTAATAAAATTTATTTATTGATTGAAGTATACCATGTTCTAAACGTAGACCATATCAGAATTGGCAATCAGTCAAGCCAGAAGATACTAATTAATCATACGTCTTAAAAGACTTAATTGCCTTTTGTTGCGTCCCTCTCGCTTCATATCAAGTGAGTCATTTTACACTTTTATGTAGTGATTAGAATCGAAGCAACTAATTTCATATGAGCTATGAAAGATGTGACACTTGACACGAATTTGAAATATAATTTAGCTAATATAATTCAAGAAGCATATACTCGGCTCTTTCTCATTTTCACAACGGTAAAGAAGAAACACAGCAATATCGACTGAAAGATGGTACAAATTAACAATCGTACTTTTTGCAGCTTTTATGCATATGTATGATATGAAAAATTGAGGAAAAGAAAATTCTCCATTTTCGTTTATTTGTCGTCGAATCTTGATGGTGGAATGGCATTCATGGGTCTTGGTAGAAATCCCAGCTGAAAAATGGAAACGACACAATCGTTATACTAAGAAAATGTTATCGCTCACGTGTTGAAAATATCTTGTACACTTGTTGCCTTTTAATTTCTTGCAACAATTATTACAATTCTCATAATTTCATTTATGAATCTTTCTTTCGATACAACAAATGTTATCTGTTCTATGTATTACAAATTCTTTTCTTAGTATCTTATACACTTCCATCTAAATTTTTTCTTTCACACATATTCCGCTTGAGCGTTAATTTTGTATCGAGTAATCATATATAATATCTTATAATGCACAGAATAGATAAGAATAAATGATTAGATAGAGATTTAGAACGTTTGATATAATGGATAATATAATAAATAATTAGGAAAAATTATAAAGCATATAATTGATATTTAGATAGAGATCTAGAACCTTTGCTATAATGGATAATAATATAATGGATAATAATACAATAAGTAATTAGGAAAAATTATAAACCTTATAATAGATATTTAGATAGAAATCTAAAATCTTTACTTACAGATAAATGAGGATCCGAACGTCCAAAACGTAAACGCAATGAAGGTGATCGCTGAGATTTACGGATCATTAGGTGTTCCAGTGGGATCTCACCAAGTCCTGCATTTTCTAAGGCATTGCGTTGCAACAAAAGTCTATAAAGCTCATGGATATTTTCTATTGGCGTCTTCTCTGGTATATCATCTGAAATTATAATATCTTACAATTAGTAGAAATATTAAGGAGTGGTATATTGACTCTTAAGACTGTTAATGATATCAAATATTTTTTATTAACCACTTGTTGAATCTTTGATCTAAATTTATCTTATAAGAATTATTAATATTCCAGGGAACACATACTTGTGATTGGAAGTAACTTGCGAATTTGCTTATTTTTAACAAAAATATTTAGTTACGAAGTTATAGATATATGGAGATGTAGTGATTTTATAATATTTGATAAATTTATGTACATTACGACGTTAATATTGATATTAGAATTATTATTATATAACTTTATAAATCTTTTGTAATAGTTTTGTATGTATTGTATAATACACAGTTATATGTATACAACTATACACAACTATAATATATGAAACACAATAATACTATGCAATACAATAATAACATTATATAAATCTATGTAGCTATAAATGGATACTCTTAAGAATAAATTTTGAGGGATCCAAGAGTACATTTTGTTTAAATTCGTCGACAATTGTAGTAGAAATGTAATTCTTTATCACGTACCTCCATAGTCTACGTAGTTTTCAGCACCAACAACGAAGCCAATAAAGACAAACAGTAAGATCGATGTTATATAGAAATTTAATGACATCTTAACAAATCTTCTGAAAACAAAATAACATCAGATTAAAGTTTCAGTCACTAATATGAATTAAACCACTAATATGAATTAATTCTAGTAAAACAAATTTTGTTTTACAGTTTCAGTATAAAAAATATTTTATAATGTCTTAATTAATTATATTATTATTCTTTATGTGCTGGAATTGTGCATAGTATATAAAAAATTATTGTACATAATATGTACAATTATTGAAGTGTGACTATTGTTATATAACAATATAATGTAATATAGTAATATGACAACTATTGTTATTACCTCTTAGAGTTTTTTTAGAATTATTTTTAGAATAAATTAATGAATAAATAATTAATAATGAATAAGTAATGAATAATTCATAAATAAATTGATTAAGAATGTTGCCTATAGTTCCAGCTTTACGATGCAGCTATAAAAGTTCCTAAATTAATCGCAGAAATTGAGTAATTAATTAATTTTTCACTGTCGATGCTTCTCTGTCCTCTTTTTAATCGCTTGCTGTCCTTGTCTGTAACGTTACGAGATATTCGACGACCTTCTCGTTTATTCTGTGCTTCTGTTATCTATTCCAAGATTCCAGTCGAATATCATAGATGGTGCTGATTGAATGTCGCTAAAACTTTTATTCTTGTTTATCTTATTGAAAGGATTAGCGCGGTAACAATGGGTTGCATTAGGGGCGTAATGAGTTTATTTATTAACAGGATTCGTACTCTGTATCACATTTTGTTGCACATTTTGGACATCTCTTTTTTTAATCCTTTGCTATTTTTACAATAACATAAAAGAATATACAGTAATTATACGTAAACAATATTTACTACTAATTTTGACAGTTTATCTTCATTAATAATACCTTTATTATCAATTAATTTATTCTCGATTGTTTAGAATTTGGACAGTTTAAAAATTGCAGATCAAAACAATGAATACATAACACGGTCATAAATACAAGAAAGAGATACATATATATTTATATCGTTTGTCTGTAAAGTCATGATGAATTAGAACATAAATTGCTTGATATTCGTTTGACATTTTACCACTCTAATATGTACCGTACATATTTATGTATGAATGTACATATTTATGATTGCTTGCTGATTTGGAATGTAGGCAGCTTTAGTCATGTTAATTGTACATAGCTATTTTTGTTTCATTTTATACACAAAAGATACATCTGTATCCCATGTATAATAACAAATTAATAAATTAGGTTATGTTTCGAAATTAAGCAATGGTTATTTTCCCCTGTTTTGCTGTCTATCATTAAATACCTAACATCAAGTACCATGTCATATAAGGCGACAATTGCAACAAAATATCTGAAGAATTTGGCAGTAGAGTTTATGTATTCGCGTAATTTAATGTTACAAAACACTATCGTAATATCAAATTATGATTTTTAAATATTTACATTGCGACTCCTCGGAATAAGATTTTACAGAAAAAAAATTACCTTACTACGGAGTAAGGAAAGCAATATTGTTGTGACACGATATTTAAAATTGAGAGAGTTCTTTGCATTGGGTAGAAAAATATGCTGCCAATTTGACAAAATTTTATAGCAAAATTGTATTTTTATTTCCGGAGACTGTCATACGTCAGCTTTATTGCACTTTGTGTTGGGACTAAGTACTCGTAGCTACGGCACTGTCGAGGCTAAAGAAGCGAGCAATGGCTGCGTGGCGGTAAAACCCTGTACACACGTTACTAAAGTAAATTCTACAAGAATTACCCACTGAATATTACTGAATAAAATTCGTATTAAACAGTGTTATTATTTATTGTCCTATAGACAATTCATTTTAATATATTTCTTCGTATATTTAAATATAGACGATGACATATTAAAGGTAAAATATATGAAAAAAAAGTCAAAGTAAATAACTTTTGAGTTTTTATTTGGACATTCGAAATCAATTTTTCCAACATTTTTAATTTCTTAAAATAATCGTTTTCTATTTTATTCTTTCAAACCTTAAATTTCAAATTTTTTCGAATTTCTCTTTCTTAAATTTCAAAAACTCCTGCCCTGTTCTGTGATACATTCACTGACGTTAGATCTATGCTTGTTTACTTTGCAAGTACAGTACTTTACTTCGAAGTACATTAAATTGTATTTAATAATTCGTTGTTATAAATTTTATATATTTACTTTTCCTTGCAAAATTATATATCTAACATCGGATTTTCTATTTAATACACTTCCAACCTTGATAACATAGAACTGCATGTGTTCAGTATGAAATATCAACATAGTTATATTCTATCGTGAAAAATTTGATTAAATATCGATTGTTATGATACTATGGTCTGTACTAGCTCTTAATACGTGTTATCAGCCGTGAAACTTATACACATCGATAAACAAGGTGTTTGTACTGCTTTAGCACAACAGCCCATCTGAAATTTCACATTTTCCCAAAGGGTTTAGTCGATGAATTATTTGCAGAAAAATACTTGGAGTATCGATTGGGCAACAATATTTTTAGAGGGAGAAAATGACGTACTTGAAAAAAGTTTTACTTAAAATATGACTAAAGGGTAAAGCAGGTACGGTTGAAATTAAATTTGAATTAACTAGTTGATCAGATTAATCAGAGATGAATAAAATATACTATCTTAATTTCGTGTAGCAATATGTGGATAGAAATGGAAACCAATTTCTTGTACGTTTTTCAACAGTTAACAATTTAGTATATTTATATAATAATATTTAAATATTGACATCAATTCGCAATATAATATTTTAAATAAAAATATTCACACTATCTTGAAAATTCTTCTCTATCTCTCGCTCTCTCACACTCTTATTAACACATGTTTACTATTTCACGATTCTAACCTAACTGTTTCATTTTGGCACAATCTTCTAAACATTTTTATCAATATTCATACTAGATTCCACTCGCACATATTATATTTATATCATTCCAAATGATTTTCATTTATTTTACCTCAATACCACTCACACTCTCATAAAACCAATACTCACTCAATAAGTATGAATAATAAATCATATTTCATTTTCTTCATATTGGAATTCATATGGTTAAGAAATTTTTTAATCTTATCTTTTGAAATACTTTTACTACTTGAAAAAGATGTTGATTGTAAATGAAGATGCGAAGAAAATAAAATAATAATACAATATATTTTCGATTCTTTTAGTAGGTATAGTGACTATCTTTGAACAATACAAATTTTTCTATTAAAAAATGGCAAGCATGTTGTAAAATTTGTAGTTATAGATTTATAAATTAATTCAATCGGATACAGAGTTATTACAATATTAATTCTTAAAAATAATTGTAAAATGTTTAAAAAATACTCAAAATACTTAAAATTGTAAAATACTTTTTATTATTTTTATTCTTTTTATTAAAGAATGATACGCTAGTTTTTCGTTTTCGAGGTTATATTGAGATTGAAATTGACGTAGTATATTTAATACTAAAATAATAAAAACTGGTTGAATAGGTATCAAGATGAAGTGTTTCCAAGTAATGGAACACACTGTACTATAAATATAAATAAGGAATTCTAATTAATTTATTGCATTTCAGCATTACACAACTTTATTGCACGTTTCCTTTTTAGTTACCATTTCTAATTCGTTTTATCTAAAGCATCTAACAAGTTTGAAGTATCTAAGATAGGGTAAATATTATCATGTTATCAACTTTAAGTTGTTGATCCTCTGCTATCGATTATACGTGGTTCATTTAATCGGAAAAAGACAAAACGTTCATCCTGTGAATTCAGTATTGCGAATATAAATTTCACAGTAAGTAGCCAATGGTAATTACGAATTACTAGCTAATACTTCTAACTGAAATTAAAATTGTGATATACGACATATATATAAACAAATATAAAATAATAAAT